AATAATGTATATAGCAAAGTGTTGTAGCTTCAACAATTATTTACACTTGTTTGGAATGCCGTCAGTAGCCCTTCAGGAATGACAGAATTGCCCCATTTTTGGAAAACAGATATGTCACCTTTCAACACCACTGATGTCCTATCAATACTTTGTGTCTATTGCTTTGCGGTTAATAAGGATTTCTAACAGTCTTTCTGACTTCAGTAAGAAAAAGTCATTTAATGAAATTAAGATGTCAGGAATCACAATAGTCAATTACCAAATAAACATGAGAGAAAATGCACCTCAAGTATTTCAAAGGTTGGTACTGTATTGAATAACAGATGTTGCTTATGTCAAGCCCTCAGGTTTTATATGATAAAGTTCCTCTAAGTTTTATACAGATTGAAATCCACATTTGTCTAGGTAATCTCACTTAGTTATAAAGCTCCAAAGAAAACATCTTTGGAGAATGAGGAAAAGTTGAGTCAAACTCACTCTTAATGAACCCTAGTGATCTGAGCACCGAAAGCTAGATCTGCTAGATATTTAATTCACTTAAAATTATTTGAAAATAAAGGCAAAAGACACCCTTTATACCTTGAGTTTTAGTCTGTGCTTCAGACTGAAACAAATAATCATAATTCGACTGAAACCACAGTTTCCGTGTAGTAGCCAGAATTAATCATAAATCAAAGCAACTTCATGAACCTTAGCAGATTAATAACTGTGATCAAGCTTTGAATATTAAGCCTTGAATCAAGCAAATGTCGCATGGCCTTCAGGCCAGAGATATTTCACGTAGATGTACTATTATAATTTCCTTTTAGTTTTACTAAATCAGGATTAATTTCATCATAAAAATATTCTTCCTTCAATATAATTTATTTTCTAGAAATAAACTTAGAAAATGTCTACATTTATATCTCATATAAGCTACTGTAGTTAGGAATTTCATGTCAAATACAGTAAACCCTCAGAGAAAATTCGGTGAATGAAATCCTAGCTCTGATGAAGGAACTAGCAGCATTTCTTTGATTTTTCTGTGATTGAGATTTCATCCAAAGTCTTTGATAGAGACGCATCTAGACCAAATGTATTGATGTGACAGTACTGAAACTTGATCCACAGTATGAACAAACATATTACTTGAAATATTTCCAATTAATCTATGTCCATATAAATTCAGATGTTGCAGCAGTGGAACTATGCACCCATATGTAATAAATCTATCCATCGTTGCATACCAATAAGGTATCAGCAAGGATGTTAACAATTTTGTAGAAACATAAAGTTATACTTCAATAAATAAAAACAATATAAGAAATCTAGGCTTCGAAATTTTGAACACTTGCATATTTACATAACTCTGAGATGACACATGAATAAAATTGCCCGTGCAATTGAGTTCTGTGATAGGAATGTAGAGAATTTCCAAAAATAGGAGAAACAAGTGAAAAGCATTGGAAATAGGTCTTTTCAACCTCCTCTCTAACCATGGTGATTTTAAATTGAGTTATAGTACTAGGCCATTTGTGAGTAGAAAACTTAGCACAGCAGATAGACTGAACTTTCACCAGGCTAGCCATACCTGTTTTTCTCCTCTATCCTTTCAGTTATACATCTTTTTCCCTCTATCACAATTAACACCTCATATACCATCTCATTTAACACCTTTGCTTTTTCCAGAGTTTAATACTGGTAACCTGGAAGCAGGCATCTGTATGAACATCTATTGAAACGGAAGAGAAGAAAACCTGTATAAAAATTGTAAAGCACATAAAAACCTGCAAAAAGAAGAGAGCTTATTCTGAAAAGAGATCAGTGCATAACATGGAATTTGCTAGATTTGTTAAGAATCAGTCTTATTATTTCCATATCCTTTAATAAATTCACTAATAATCTTAGAAAAAAGAAAATGTGTGATTTGCTGTTGATTCCCAACTTGTCAACGGCACACACAAAATACTAGAGCCAAGAAATTGTGTTATAGGATACCAAAATTCAATATTATACACTAAAGTAGAAGAAAAACTTCTGGTATAATCTGGTATTTTGAGAGTCAAAAGTTGTATGGCACGAGAAAGACCTGTTGTTGGTACTGAACATGGGACAAACTAAAAGCTATCAACACAGAAAAGTCATGAAAGATAGGCAAATCCCTTTTTTATCAGTGCTTAAATGGAAATGGAGAGACAATGCTATTGTGCACCTTGCTAGTAAGGATTTACTGGAATGCCATATATAAAAATCTTTCCATTAATGTTTAAGACTAACTAATTCAAACTGTAATAGGTCATAGACATCGTCAAGGAAATCCAGAACTTGTTTCATGAAAAGAGATTCAAAGAGGATCTTGTTCAATTAAAAAAAAAAAAAGTGAGTGTTGTATATAAATACATCAATAGGCGAACAGAAGCGAATAACAGTTTAGAATGTTATTTGGAGAGAAACAAATGAGACAATTTCTAATCAGAGGAGTGAAGTTCAGGCATTGCCCTCACTAGGAAGAGTGAAATGAACTGATTTTAAGATGAAGCCCTGGATTACAAAAGATGTTAGACAATGTCTGCTGAAAAGCAGAGTTTTGGATTAGTGATTCAGAGGTTTTAATCAAGTCCCACCTTTTTTTACTTCTTCCTACCAAAACTGATGTACTCATCTGAAACTTTTGATTCTAACAAGCTGCTTTTTTTTTCTCCAACACAAGCTATGTAGAACAATTCTATCTGATATTATGTAATTATGTTGGAAACACTAGTACTAAGTGCAATGAAGTAATATGGTGGATATAGCCAGAAGCAGTCAGAAAACAACGAAGAAAATTAAATCTACCTGAAAAACAGATACCAGAATAAAAACTATTTTTCATCAGAATATTAATTCAGTGCACACACTTTTAAAAACAAAATCAGAAATGGTTTTCTCTGACAAATCTCTGTCAAATTTAATTGGGCTGTGTCAAATAATGGGATGACTTCCTAAGGTTAATTGTAAAAGTTCCATATTGGCTTTAGTTGTGTTCTTTTCCTGCAGTAAGAATGGCTTGCAATATACATAGGAGCCTTCAGAATTCATAGATGTGACAAAATGTGAAAATTTAGAAAGAGAGGACAATTAAGATTTTTCCCTGTAGAAGGCAAGTAAATATTATTTTTAAAAGGAGAATTGAACTGTAATTCTTAAGTGCTATTGTGGTAAATGTGTAGTCTAAATGCAAACATTCAAGTATTGAACAGAGAGATTTTTAGTCTCGCTATACGTGCAAACCACAATGCAGCCTTAGCTGTGGAGTTAATTACTCTTTTGTATAAGAATAACACAAAACCTACAGCATAATACAAAAAAAAATAACATGTGTCACGTAAATTAAATTTTCCCACAAAACTGCTCTACTTTTTCACTTATTTTCTTCTACCTCATTGTCTATGATTACCTATCTTAGGGCTGGTGATAATTTGTGGGATCTCTCTATGTAAAGCTTAGGAATTCTGTTTGATACTTGGAAATCTCTCTATATAGCTGTATCAGGTTGAAAATTCTTTGCTAATCTAAAATCCACAAGAGGTGATTTTTGCTCCTGGCACATGATCAATAAAGAATTGTTAAACCTTGATAACATCCTACTCAAGTACAGTCCCTTGGAGCATGACAATGTTACCAGATAGGCAAACCTGGTTTTATAGATGAGGTGAGGCAGGAATAAGTAGGTGATAAATCATCTGTTCTACACAAATTTAATCACCTGTCAAGGGAGCTACCTGACTAACGAAGGTAAGGTGGCTTCTTGATTGGTGCTGTAAAGTACGTCTTGTACTGAGCATTGGAGGGGGATGGTGGACGTGTGGGACTTCTACCTATATTTGGAGTGGAAAAGGAAGGAAGAGAAATGCAAAGTGGTTCCTGCCTTTAACAGCTGTTCTGAAACCCTTGAAATCGAAGTGGGTTTTTTATCCCTTCTGTGAAGAAACTCCAAGACTGGCGTACCGCCAGTTTAAATAAATGAAGAAATCGGCACTGCCCTCAGAAGAGAGGGCAGCAAAGCTCTGCACCGGAGGACTGGGAAAGGAGCCGCTGTTGCTGCTTTAGCAGACCAAAGCAAGCTCACATGGACACTAGTGGTGTGTTGCATGGAAAAACCTGGCTCCAGCAACTGGCGAGTGGCCGAGCGTTGCTTTTACCAAGGCTGAGGGAGGGGTGTTGGACACCCTTGCGCAAATGAGCCTAGTCCTGCTAATGTGATCACGGCCCCATGGATACCCGGGGCCTTTCTTCCGCCCGGGATGCTTGCACTGCCCGGCTCACCCCTCCGTGCCCGGCAGCTCGGGGCTCCGGGGCCCCATTCCGCGGCCAAGGCACCTGGCGGGCCGCTGCCAGCCACAAGACAAGCGAGGGCTGCACCTCCCGTTTCCCGCGGAGCTGGGGAATGTTCCCGCATCGAGCTGAGCGGGGACTGCAACCTGCTCCGTGGCGCGGAGCCTTCGCAACTTCCCGCGGTCACTTCGCTCTTCCCCGCCCGGCTCCCGGGAGGTCCCGCCGGCCGGGAGCGGCGGTGCTCCCCGGTCACCTGCCCAGGGCAGTCCCCTCGCCCTCCCTCAGACCGGGCAGCGCTCGGGTACCCGCGGCGAGCCGGGCGCTCGGCGTAGGGTGCCTCCCCCTTCGTCCCTCCGCGCTGGCGGAGCCCTGCGCCAGGGGCTGAACTCCGGAGAGGGGACAGTCCCGTGCGCCCTGACTCTCCCCAGCCCCCGCGCCCCTCCGCCCGCCCCCTCCCCTGGTCACTGGGGCTGATGAATTAATCATGAGGCGGCTGCTGTTAATGCATTTATGTGGAGCGGGCTGTGCCAGCGGCTCGAGGCGCGGCGGGCTGAGGGAGCGCGGGCAGCGCCGGCAGCGCCGGCCCCTCCGCTCCGCCCGGCGCGGAGCCGAGGCCGCGCCCGCACCGCTCTCCATGGCTCCGGAGGAGGTAATGGGAACCGGGACTCGCTCCCCGTTTCCCCGGCCGTCAGGAAAGGGGCAGGGCTGGCGGGGTGCGGAGAGGGCACGACGGTACTGGCAGGGCAGCTCCAACTTGCCGGTAGGGGGAAGAGAAATGCTCGTGTTGCCGGGGAGGGGTGTGGGGGGTGTGTTCGCTTCGCGTCCCCGCGGTTCCCCTCAAATCCTACCCTCAGTTTAAAAATCGCTCTCTTGGCATAAGCGCTCGGGAGCCAGGCTCACTCTATCGCCGCTGACGCTGTCAAAATCGCTGTGGCTCCAGCAGTAACAACAGCGAGCCCCCTCCCTCTCTCTCTCCCTCCGCCGGGTCACCCGCTCCTCGTGAGTAACCAACGCTGATATTCCTTTGGCTTCATCTTCCCGGCTTACGCGAGAGTGCGGAAGACTTGCTAATTAATTTACATAGGAGGGAATGATGTCTGAAGGAAGGAAAAAATACCCCGTTGCACCTGCTCCGCCGAGACTTGTCATCTGAATCTGGAGGAGAGCTATAAATCATGTAAAGTGTTCGCGGTGGAGTCGGCTTCTTCTGAGAGCTATAGGATTATGTATCCAAATGCTGAATTTGTATTTCCCACTAGGAAAAGACTGAAACTCAGGTCAGATATAAACTACATCATTTCATTTAAAACAAATCTGTAGTTGTTTAATGTAATTCTAGAGGGCATTTTTCTTCTCTCCTGATTAAATAAAAAGTACTATTAGAGCATGTAGTAATGATTTACACAGTATAGCCTGAAATCTCTTGCATAGTTGAAAGTGGTTGAGTGTAAGGATGGTGCTTAAGAATCACGTATGTCCTTTTATTTTTGCTTCACGTGGAAAGACTGAGAATAACCAGGCTGTTAAATTTTACCTTCAGTTTTTAATGTGTAAGACCATATTTTGAGATACAGAATGGAGAAAACTTGGATGAGGGATACCACAACTTCCATTGAAAAGGTTGACTTTCTCAACTACAGCAACTAAAATCTGTGTTGTGTCTGCTTTGATGATTTTCATCCTTTGAAAAATAGCTTTAAAACTGTGATAAGCTACTTCCAAGAATTTCAGTTACCGCCTCTAAGGCAATACTGTAATAGTTCTTGACACTTGCCTGCTAAATGAGCTGAACTGGGGAGATCTACTGTTCAGTCAGATGTTTATGTTATTCCTGTGCCAGGTATTTCCTCATAAAATACAAAATGAGGGTTTTAGTCTGATAAGATTATGATTTTATATTGTAGAAATTATTCATACTTTAGTTTTGTGACATCAGTGAATCTTCATATATTTGACTAGTTTTGTTGCTGGCTAAACTAGATAGATTTTGTAATTTCAGATGGACTTAATTTAGATTGGGGTTAATTGCTTTAGTAGCCTAAAATATTTTCAGTCATATTGTAAATGGCAAATATTATTAAGTTCTTTTGTTCCAATTATGTAAAAACATGGCTTTTTGATTAAAAAGGTGTTGTGTATAGATGGATCCTGTACATTGCATCAGCATGAGGGAATTAAGGAGTTTGTGTTCTTGGACAGCACATGTCATTTGCAAGTTTCATAAGTTGTGAGCTTATTGTAAAAGTGTGTGTGGCAAAAGACTGCTATGCTTGTATAAGAAACTAATAATAACACAGAAATCTGTGAGGTAAGCAAGAACTAGAGCTAGGCTAACCACTCAATATGCTTACTTTGAAAACAAGTCTGTATGCAGTAGTTTTCGTATCACTGTTCTACAGCAACAAAATAACAGTGCCAAAAATAAGCATAGGCCAGAAATAAAAGCACAAAAATTTACAAGAAGACTAGTCACAAGGAAAAAAAACCCATTTTGAAATGGAGTCTTTCTGTCAAATCCAAGACTGCATGTTGTTAAACTACTCATATATACAGCAGTTTATGACATTTAAGGTGGGAGCCTTGGTCTGGTCTATAACCAAGTAATTAAAAGAGATTCTGTTGCTGAGGATTTGGTTTGTCACAGAATAAAAGATGGTTAGAGGTCAAATGACAGTCAATAAAAGTAGAGTTCATTTTTGAACTTGGAACAGGAGAACAATTTGTTTTCTTCTCTGATTCTTCTGTCTAACTGGAAATGCTGTCATGAACACCAGCCCACAAAGTGGCCAAAATTTACTATGTGATGAACGTTTATTGTTCTGAGATGACACTGTAATAAAAAATACTTTTTTGGTGTAACTGACATTGTTCTGACCAGTGCTTTGGCTGTAAGGTCGTAAGTGAATAACATGGAGGTTCTGATTTGGGATTTGAACAACATATGTCACTGCATAAGTTTCAGTCCAGTGGACATTTTTATGTTTGGTCACCAAAGTGTTGCATCAAGTTATATTGGAAAAGCATTTGCTTCTTTTGTAATCTAAAATGAAAAAATGATTTGTCAGCCAGAAGGAGGCAGGGAGATGTGTTCACACTTACTAGACTTTATTGTGTGTACAGTAATGACTTCTGTTTGATACAAGGGATTGTGGGCTTGGTGACTTCAGTGAATGACAAACCCACCCACATTTTCAACATTTGCAACATATTGAGCATGCTTTTTGTGTAACCATAGTGCTGCTTGTTTATTGATGAACAGATCTTTGAAAGGAGATGAATGAAGAAGAGTCAGATGTCTGCACGATGTTCACTTATTGTACAAATAACTACATGACAACTGACCAGTATTCGTAGGCATGTGAATATGCCCTCTCTATTTTGTGCAGTTGTTTTTGATTTACCCATTGCCATATGAAACTTGTGAATGGGTTGTTCAATGGTTAACATAGAGTACTAAGTTATGTTGGATGTAGACAGCTGTATGTCCTAACAGACAGGTTAAGTTACAAGATTTCACATAGTGACAGCATTTGAGGTGTATATGCATGGAGTACAATCAAATGCCTTCTTTGACTGCTCATATAGAAAGCAAGAATCCATTAAACTTCCAAGGAGGACAAATATTTAATGAAGACCTGAAGAGGCAATATCATTTCAGTATGTTTGCAATGCACTGCTCTGTTTAGCTGGTGATTAAATCTTTTGATCTCAAGGAGAGCTTCTAGTCATCTGCTTTGATGCAATATTCTATGAAACCATTTAAGCTAGAGGGGTAGGGGTTTAAGTCTTAAAACTGTTTTCTAGAGATAAAAAATTGCATGTAGCCCTAGTTGAACTTCCCTAGTGGGAATAGTGGCAACAAAAAGACTGGTAAAGAAGGGAGCAAACCAGGGAACAGTTAATCACCACTGTAACTCAGGACTGAAGTAAAGACCTCTCTGAGTTAGACAACAATCTTATCTAATTCAAGTCATAAAGTCATCACAGTCTACCTTCAAGCTAGTTAAGCACATTGCCCTGTTGTTCTTTCTGGAAAGATGATTCAAAACCTCTTTCCTAATGCTTAGAGCTTTCTTTGAACTTTCAGCCTAAATACATTTTTTGATTTCTAATTTTTAATCTCTCAATATTGTGATTTAAAACCAACTCCTTCCTTGGTGTGTAGCACTCAATAAATTATAACCATCGATCATGTGTCTTCCTCAGCTTTTATGTGCTAGGATCAAACAAGCAGAGCAAGCACCTTATAGTCTCTCTAGCGAAACAGAATAAATAGGAAGATACAAAGCCTAGTAATTTAATTCTCCTGAATTCTGAACTTTGTACCTGAAGTGTTTTCTTAAAGTCTTGAATAAGAACGCTAATGCTCCACTTCGTCTTCTCAAAATATTGAGTCAGATATTAGCGAAGATCAAATTTGTTTTACAGGTATGCCAGGTTGACTTAATCTTATTGTCATAAACTAGACATGGGTGTGTGATTTATCTTTTTGTGTTGCTCTGAAATGATCAGAGACCATCACAGAAATAATAACAGAAATTCTGCTATTTGTAATCATGTGCTTTCAAGAGTTGCTAAAGGTTTTGCCATTTCTAATACTACAAATGGTCATCCAATTTCTTCTCCAAGTTAGAGAGAATATCCCCTGCATCAAGAGGACTTCCTGTAACCAGTTTTAATCAAAACACCTCTGCTTTTTGCCACATTCACAGACGAAATAAAATGAGTCTGAAGAAGGATTTTAAATAAATCCACTTAATATGTTACCATTAGTCACTTTTACATTGACTTTATTTTTGTATTACGCCTGCCTATCTTTTCCAACTCAGTGAATAATTGCTGAGTGATACCATATCAAATTCTTTACTGGAATATGGAGAGATTGGATTCTGGATTTCCTTTCCTATAATATTTGCTTTTAAAAGTTAGTTTATTTGTTCCAGACTATGTCTTTTAAAAGTTTCTTCTTTTTGCTGTTGTCTAAAATTTTCTGTTAACACTGTACATCTGTTTAAGTTGGAAAGGCAGAGCAAATCCTTTTCAACTTATCCTATAAAAGATGCAGATATAGTTATTAAGTGAAATGTTACACATTACCTGCAGAACAACAGAGGAGATTATTTAATATCTTTTTCCTACTATGATTCTTCAGAGTGCTAACCAACCACTTTGTGTCACTCAAGTCTGCAAGTGAAGTCTTGCATTTTGTCATCCTAAAAGCTGTTTAAAGGGGGGGAAAAAAGGGTCAAATTAAAATTTTTATAACCTGCAAACGGTAGACCTTTTTTTGTTTCAGGAATTGACAACAGAAAAATGTGTTCTAAGATTGTCTTTGTTTACAAGAGGATCTTAGTGGATATCTGAAAAAAAAATTGAAGCAAGATAATAGGGAGTTAGATTGTGTAGAAAAACAACAAAATATCAGTTAGTAGAGATACTGGGTTTTAGATGTGAATGAGTAATGTAATCCAAATTCAAGTGTAAAATTTTAGTTTCTGGATGGAGATAAACTGGGCTATTTCTGCCCTTGTCATAATTTAGCATTTATATAGTATTTACTAGGTAAAAACCTCTTCATAGGTATCAATAATCTTCATTATACCCTCTGAAGTACATAGGTGTTCTTCTGCCAATTGATGGTATGGGGCCAACATATTTTAGATGTGTAAATCTGCAAAAAGTTTAAATTTTGGTATGAATTTGTTTTTTGAAATGTATGAAGGGCAGATTGTATCCCCAGTATTCAGAATCTGATCTTATTAGGCATGCTTTCATTTTTAAGGAACAAAGATACAGAGTTTCATTTTGAACACTTGAATAACATCATGTCTCTTTGATAATGGAGTCTAGTCAGATGTAGTTTTTCCTGGATAAAAGTGTTGGATAGTATAAAGGACAGTTTTTAAAAGGTTTACACAGAAGAGATCTTTAATTTACAAAGATTTTGTCAGATTTAGCTTCCACTATTTGTGGAAAGGTAGTTACACATGGAAAGAGTGAGCTTTTCTTTTCTGTCTCCACCCTCCTTGGTTGACAGACTTTCCCTCCAGCAATCAGTTGACAGCAATCAGTTTGAGGATTATTTCTGGAAGGAAAAAGTTTACAGCTTTACTTCAACAGTAAGATTAAAAATAAAGTAGCTGTCATCTATTTCCTTGGCTTAACTAGTTAAAATCATAGCCACAAAAATGCCATATTACTCAGCTAAGCTCTTCTGTGCACTTTGTACAGTAAGCAGACCTTATTAAAGGAAAGGCGCTAAAGACTTACAAACAAT